ATAGTTGAACTATACAATAAAAAATGCAATATATATATATATATATATATATATATATATATATATATATATATATATATATATATATATATATATATATATCGGGATCTTCTACGACATGGTAGATCGAGCTCGAAACATGAGAGACTAAAGATCGACCTCCGGTCCCACCGAGCCAAAACCCGAGATCAGAATGTCCGCCCTCAAGAGCATTGAGTCCGTGACCCCGGAATCGACCCTGACCCCGAACGAGCTCGAGGAAACATTGTCAGTGTAACCAACAGAAGACCGAAATAACAGAAGGATGAAATATCCGTGACCGGTCGGATATTATGGCGGGAATCTCGGCACGTATCAATAAGGAACCGGCAAACCAGGAGATTTTTACCTTTTATAGAATTGTACCTAAAGTAGGACTACCCTACTATATAAAGGGGGTCTAATTACTTGTCAATTACATTGTAACACACATCCCAAAGCAGTATATTGTTAATTTCTTTTTTTAAGCTCTTGTTCTTCTATATCTTGACACTGATCAAATTGTATCCAATTCAAGTGTGCCTCACCCCCAAGGCTATAACTGTTCAATTCGTGTGGTTTGAATTTACTTTATCGTATTCTATTTCAATTGTAATTTAATTTATCGCTTTGTATCAATTTAATCCACGTATCCTTAAAACTACTTACAAAGTCAATTGGTATTCGATTTTGAGGGTAAACAATTTGGCGCCCACCGTGGGGCGAAGGATAATAGTGGTTATTCGATACAAATTTTCTATAACACATACTACTTTACACTTGTTCTTTGAAGTGCCTCTGATTTCAGGTTAAAGCTCAAAATGTCAAACTCACAATTGGAACCCTACATGTTGACAATGAGCCCGGTCACCACGGTGAAAATAACAACATAGCGCCCGGTAACGAGGTACCGCCCGTTGATCCCATCAGAATTCCAGTCGCAGACCCGTTGGACGCTAACTCACATGTGGCTATTGACGCAAACCTGCCTACCGACCCCGAGTATAGCATCCATGGTGGATCCCGATCGACAGCGCAGAATACTCAAAACAATGGAGGAGACAGGATCAATCTATGGATGATCTTCGAAATGTTACAGGCTCAACAAGAGGTGATAGCTCAGTTACAGAACCAAAGCCGCGCACCGAGCAGAATTAAACCCGATCCGTCCCGGAAATCAACTGCAGGGAAGAACCGGTCGCAGAGAGGTTGAACGAAAACAAGTCGGGGACTAACCCCGAGATCATAAAAATGCTCGAGGAGCTGACAAAACGGATAGAATCAGGAGAGAAGAAAATCGAAGCAAATGACAAAAAGGTAAAAACCTACTATTCTTGGGTCGACCAGATCCCGGGAGCGTCGTCGATACTGAACGGCCTGGATTCCAAGAAGTTCGTACAAAAACCTTTCCATCGGAGTGCGGCTCCAAAGCCGATCCCTAAAAAATTTCGCATGCCCGAGATTCCTAAGTTCAACGTGAAGACCGACCAAAACGAGCATGTTACCTCCTACACATGCGCCATCAAAGGGAACAACTTGGAGAATAATGAAATCGAGTCTGTCTTGCTGAAGAAATTCGGAGAGACCCTGTCAAAGGGAGCTATGATATGGTATCACAACGTACCTCCTAATTCTATTGACTCATTTGCTATGCTTTCAGACTCTTTCGTGAAAGCACATGCCGGGGCTATCATGGTCGAAACTAGGAAGTCAAACCTTTTCAAAGTAAGACCGAAGGATAATGAGATGCTCAGGGATTTCGTGTCCCGGTTTCAAATGGAACGGATGGATATGCCGCCGGTCGGCGATGATTGGGCCGTTCAAGCTTTCACCCAAGGACTCAATATTCGAAGCTCGCTAGCTTCACAGCAGTTGAAGCAGAACCTGATAGAGTATCCGGCTATTACTTGGGCTGATGTGCATAACTGATATCAATCGAAAATCAGAGTCGAAAATGATCAACTTGGAGCTCCTTCCGGGTCCGCTTATCCTGTTAGACCCATCGATAGAGTCAAGGAGATAAAGATCGTGAATCGAGGTCAAACAGGGATCGATACCAGCTGTACAATGGAGATCGAAGAAGCAGCGGGTCCGGACATAATTCTATGCGAAATGAAAGGAGAAATGATCGAGGCTAGAGCAGCCGGGAACTCATGAGCAAGAACGGTTTTGACCCTATCGGGCCTAAAGAAGCACCAAGGTTATTGGAATATAACTTTAATGTTCATGTTGCTGCCATCGTATCAGCTATCAGACGCATCAAGGACACCAAATGGCCTCGACCTCTACAATCCGACCCATCCCAAAGGGATCCTAACCAGATGTGCATATATCATGGCACTCACGACCACAGAATAGAGGATTGCCGACAGTTGAGGGAGGAGGTAGCCCGGTTATTCAACAACGGGCACCTTCGAGAATTCTTGAGCGACCGAGCCAAGAATCATTTCAGAAACAGGGATTCTAATAAATAGACCGAACAATAAGAAACTCAACACGTCATTAACATGATCATCGGTGGGCTCGATGTTCCTCAAGGGCCGATGTTGAAACGCACCAAAGTATCCATCACAAGGAAAAAACGAACTCGAGATTACATACCAGAAGGAACTTTGTCTTTCAAAGACGAGGACGTAGAAGGGATCGTGCAGCCCCACAACGATGCACTGGTAATATCTGTAATCATAAATAAATCTCAAGTTAAGTGCGTATTAGTTGATCCAGGTAGCTCGGCCAACATCATACGGTCGAGAGTCGTAGAACAGCTTAGTCTACAAGATCAAATTGTGCCTGCAGTCCGAGTTTTGAACGGATTTAATATGGCATGTAAAACCACTAAGGGGGACGCATGGGGCGCCCCCGCATGGGGCGACGCGCCATGAGGGGCATTAGTGGGAGACTTCAGAGAGCAAGCAAAATCAATAGGCAACCTTTTTTTACAGCCACGACGCACCACGCGCTGTGGCTGTGGACTTTTCTCAAAGCCAGCTTTTTTCTTTGATTTTTGAAGTGACGTGGTTCTAGAACCCCGAACACGATTCTGGCTTAATCCCTTGGGATTTTACTCAGACTTCAAAGCTCCAAATCACTCGGATTCATTCCATAACATCTACATAGCCCGGAATCACTCCTACAAGGCATAAAATACCAATAAGTGAAAAACACTAGCGATTAAAGCTCAAGCTTTATAAAAGTGCAGTAAATTGGAGTGTAATAAGCGACTAAAATACGGTATTATAGCCTACCATCAACACCCCACACTTAAATCATTGCTCATCCTTGAGCAATCAAACTACACTTTATATAGACACGACCGTTTTAAACAACTCTCCTAACTCATCACACCAAGAATATTTAAAATAGGCTAAGCACAACGGTGTAACATCCTCACCTCAAGATTTGACTCACAAGTACCACACATTATTTATAACTCACTCACTTGCTCTAACATAGAGGTCAAGCATTACCTTTCCTTCATGAATTAAGTGCCACACACAACAAAAGAGAGTAGTTCCACACATAATAAAATTTAAGAACAATTAGGAATTCAGTCACTCTCAGAAACAACATTCATATGCAACAAAAGATGAACCATAGGTTTTCTCGTAGTGTACTACTCTACTAATCGAGTTCATTCAGTCAAGGATCAAGTAGGACTTTAACTGGTTGTAATGTAGGCTGCAGAACGGGTAGAATATATTTAGATATATGAGTGACTACACCTCCTTAAGCACTTTAATACATACACTTTAACATTTAAAACCCCACACATATATCAAACCAAAACTCTACCTTCACATCAATATACATCAACTCCCAAATTATTTAAGCACAATTACATCAAGAGTTACCACTTATCAATGAATATTTTTCACAACAATACCACTATTTTTTCTTTCTTTTTCAATTCAAGTGTCTCTTACTTTTTCAAAACAGTGCACCTTTCTCCTTATTTTATTAGTTCCACTCAAAAGCCAAACCAACCACCCCATACTTTAAATTTTACTAAGTTCATAATAAATTCAAGTGCTCACAAGAGAGGTGAAAAAGGTTCAAATAAATGGTCAGTTCAAACAAATGGGTAAGACTTCTAATGTGGTTGCCAAAGAAACAAGATTACAGGCTCAAAAGGGTTAACTAAGATACATCACAATTAGGTGGTTAATAGCACATATGTGGCTCGACAAAGAAATGCCTATATCACTTCCAAGACTGAATAAGACTACTATTTCGCTTTGCAAACACATGGGGCAAGTTCTAGACATCAAATGCAATGCACAGAATACAACAAAAATCTCGCACACACATGGCACATGACTCACTCAGGATTGGAATCATCAAGATACTATAATCAAAGCAGTTAAGCAAAGTTAAGATCATACAATTTAAGGTAATTATGCAAGAGTCAAAAAATGAGCCTAAGCGTCACAACTAGAACACTCACTATTCTCAAGGCATAATAAAGTCAAAAGATATCGCTTCAATTCAAATCATAGCACAAGGTTCTCTACTCCTACTCCTACAAAATAAAACTAACAACACCCGGTTCAAATAAAACCCTTGGAAAAGAACTGCAACACAAAGAAAAACCAAGAGGAAATTATTACACTACCTACAAAAAAAATTCTTTTTTTTCCAACTTTAATACCTCAAGAAACCCGTTGAATGATATCCATCGTTGGGAAAAGTCAAAAATTTTAAAACTTTTATGCTTTTTCAATTTTTTTTCTACTACTCAAACTAACAAAAGCAAAATCAATCAAACTAACTAAAACAAAAACTAAGACTACAGTATATACAACATACAAATATCCCCCATCCCACACTTTATGTTGTGGAATGTCCCCATGACACACAATTAAAAAGTATAAGGTAAAGGAAACTTCCTTGAATATCTAGTCAGGGTCTGAATCGAAGTCGGGATCCATTCCACGCGCCCGAACTAGTGCACACATCCATGCAGACAGCTTCTTCTCAGTCTTTCACTTGTCTTTTTCTATCACTAGGGACTCTTCCTTCACACCCTTCACCGTCCACTCAACATTTGCAGCTGGCTTCTCCTTTTTCACTCCATGTGCTACATTCATCTCAAAAGTCACCATCTCCTCACCCACTCTAAGCATGAGTTTTCTATCATGTATATCCAGTATATCTCTACCCATTGCTACAAATGGTCTTCCTAGGATGAGGGGGACCTCCTTGTTCTCCTCCATATTCACCACTATGAAATCTACAGGAAATACAAACTTATCCACCCGCAACAAAACATCTTCTACTATCTCCTCGGGTGTTATAGCTGCTTGGTCTACCAATTGTAAAGATATTGGCACCGACCTTATCTCTCCAATCTCCTTCTCCCGTTTCCTGTAAATAGACAATGGCATTAGATTAACTGAGGCACCACAATCACATAAAGACTTATCAAAATTTAGAATGCCTAAAGAGAAAGGTATAGTAAAACTCCCTGGATCTCCATATTTTTGTGGGAGTTTATTTTGTAAGATCGCGCTCCAATGCTCTGTGAGCTTGAACACCTTGGTATCTTCTATCTTCCTCTTCTTTGTAAGGATCTCCTTCAAGAACTTTGCATAAGCTGGCATTTGTGAGAGAAGTTCAGTGAATGGCAGGTTTACATTAACCTATCTCAACATATTTAGAAATCTCTCAAATTGCTTGTCCACCTTTTCTCTATAGAGATTTTGGGAAAAGATAGAGCAGTCATGTGCTTGCTCACATCATAAAATTCCTCACCTCTTGAAGTTTCCTCCTTCTCTTTTTCTCTACTCCCTTCTTACCTTTCTTCTTCTCAGTCTTTTTGTCATATTCAATTTTCAGCTCCTTCCCACTTTCTTTTCCAAGCGCAACTTCTTTATGAATTGGAATGGAATCTTTCATCACTTGTTCGCTTCTCAAGGTCACAACATTTACCGTTTCTTTGGGATTCTTGTCAGTATCAGCTGGCAGAGTACTTGGGATTCTCTCAGATAATATATTTGCAATTTGTCCCACTTGTCTCCCAAGTTACGCAAACCTGTCCTAAGTTCTTTGATAGCTGCACCATGAGCATCTAGCCTCTCATCTATCTTGACAATAAAGGACTCCATAAGATCTTCTAACCCAGACTGATTTGATTGTTGAGGCTGAAACTGCAGCCTCGGCTGATTCACAAAACCAGGAGCTCCTTGAAATCTAGAGTTATTTTGTTTCCATGCATTTGCTGTACCCCCAGGTGAACTCCATGAAAAATAGGGTGATTTTGACCCATTGCATTGAAGTTATAATTACCCACATGATTCACTTCCTCAATGGTAGCTTGACACTCATGAGTAGGGTGTCCTCTACCACATATATCACATGCTGCATGAGGCTCATTATGTATCGAGGCTAAGGTTAGCATCCTTATTTCTTTGGCCATTGCATCAAGCTGTACCTGCACAAATGTGTTAGTATCAACTTGGTGAACACTGGTTGATCTTCTTCTTTCAGCAATCTCCGAGGGCCACTGATTTGCATCTTCATATAACTCATCTAGAATTGTGACTATCTCCTCTGGAGTCTTTTTCATCAATAGACCTCTAGCTGCATTGCTCAATGTTCTGTGTGAGGCCGTGTCAATCCATCCCAAAAGTCCTGGAGTTGCATCCAGAGTTCAATTCCGCTGTGCTGACACTTTCTGACAATCTCCTTAAACCTCTCCCAAGCTTCAAACACAGTTTCAGTCTCGTTCTGGCAGAAGTTATGGATTTCTCTTCTAAACTTGCCCATTTTAGTTGAGGAGAAATATTTAGCAAGAAATCTGTTCATCTCCTCCCATATTCTAATTGATCCCTAGGGCAAGCTTCGAAGCCAGTGTTTTGCATCATCTTTGAGAGTGAAGGGGAATGCCCTTAATTAAACTGCATCTTGTGACACACCTGTTGATACCCAATTTTTTCCTCATATATTTTAAAATGTGCATACATACTTTTAAAATATTGTACATGCATTGTCAAACATGCACAAGTATTTTTACAATTTTTCTATAATTTTTAAAGACCATATCAATTTATTTCTGCATTTTTAATTGTATAAATATTAAATAATTATCCCTCATATTACTTTACAATAAATTCATCATTTTATGTTCGTATAAGTGTTCAAATATTTTAATTGCATTTTTACAATTACATTTGTATTTTTAAGACTATAATTGTATATTTTGCAATAATAGCCCATACATATGCATAACTACATTATCTATACAGAAAATTACTTTTTATGTTTTCATAATGTTAAGTAATTATTTTAAATCACCTTCATGCATAAAAATCATTTTTATCATTTAATTAGCTATTTTTACAAATTATTTTATTAATAAATTGGGTATTTAACAAATAGCCCCTTTAATTATGCCTAAATTCGGATCCCCAGCCTAATTCAAATTAAACAATCCCCCCAGCCCAATTCAAATTAAACAATCCGCCCCAGCCCAATTAAACTAACCTATAACCCGTTTCTTTAAACCCGCCCGACCCAAATCAAATCCTCACCGTTGATCTCAGAGATCAACAGTCCAGGATGTTATTACCTTTTTTAATTACCCCTAACCCCCCGAAACCCTAGTCATTTCTCCGACCCCACCGCCCTTGAATCCCTCTTCCTTAGGGGTGCTTATCGGGCGAATTTGGCGGATTATTACGCTTAACGATTTGGCTTATCGGTTATCGGATTATAAATGTAGTAATCCGCTAGCCATCTAATAAGATAACGGGCGGATTGGTATCGGATTAACGATTATCAGACGGTTATCGGACGGTTTATCGGCTAAATAAAATAGAAATTTTTTGAACCCTAGTTCTTCTGGTTGCTTAGCCTCTTTCTTGAATTCCCAATCCATGTCCACGGCCACTCTCTGAGAATGCCAAGTTTAGTACACATTCTTTTGTTCTTCACCACAAAAGAATTATACACATAAAGTGCATTACTAAACAGAGAGATGACTCACTGTAAGTGAAGGAGGGATTTAGATTTGATAAATTAAGGATTTAGATTTTACTATTTTAGGCTTAGGGTTAAATTACTTTATATAAATATGTGTAAAAGTATAAATATAAAAATTCTTAACGGGTTAACGGTTTATCCGATAAGGAAATTGAGTAATCCGCCCCCAAACCGTTAGGCCGTTAATTATAAAATCTCAATCCTTTCACCAACTGTTACCCCGATACCCCGATACCAATAAGCCAATAAGCCATTTTTTCGGTTCGGTTAACGGTTACGGTTCGGTTTTGAACAACCCTACTCTTCCTCTCTTCTCTCTGAGGCACTCTCAAACCCTAAGGGCGCTGTCACTCCAAACTTCCCCAAACCCCTTCGATTCTTGACCAAATATGGGGTCATCTATTGATTCACTGCCTTATCTAGCCTCTCACCTCTTCTGGTTGTTCGATTACGTTGATTTATGAAAGAATCTCGAAGAGATTCAACTCAGATTTGTTTGAAATCGTTTGTGAATCTACCTACGGTCATCTCCGTTTGTGAGAACTATTATCTTCGTGCTTATGGCTCAAATCTCTGGTTCCAAACCAAATTTTCTTTCATCTCGATCATTCTCTTAAAACCCTAGTCTCTTGCTGCTCGAATCCGTTCAGATCCTTGTAGATCCGAGATAGTTTTAAGCTTATTTTGTTATTTCTCGTAAAAACTTTCTGTGTTTCTTATTATTAACCAATTTTTTTGTCTTCTCTAAAACTAGGGTTTCACCCCTTTAAGTTTCTGAAAAATACTAATTTTTTCAAGTGTTTAACCCTAATTTCTTTGTTTGTTCGACTGATTCTCATGACTATGTTCGTCACCCTAGGGTTTTGATCTCTAACGGGTTTTCTGTAAAAATGCTTAGACATTTAAATGCTTTCAACAATGGTTTTCCTCTTTACTATTTCGACCGATTCTTTTGAGTTTCATCTCTATGCCTTTGACATATTCTAGGGTTCTGATTCTCTGACTATTTATCCTTTTGCCTTTTGCCCGTTGCCTTTAACTCTGGCAATTAAGTTGTTAATTGATTTACTTAGCTAAATTAGGGTTTGAATTTAGTACCCATATTTCCTTATTTAAGCTTTACTTGTCCTTACCCTACTTATGTATCCGTATAATTGGCTTGATTGTGTGTCCTGATTCTTAATTGATTCCGGAAATTGTTTCTTACCTTATTAACCTTGCTCTTAATTACGGATTGATTCTGGATGAGATTTTCCCTTAAATTAAGTGGTACTTATTTGATTCTGTCATCTTAATTGATCCCTGACTAATTGCTAATTGATTTGCATACCCTATGTATATGTGATTGATTCATTACCTTGTGTGACCTACCCTATTGCATGCTATAAAAACCTTCTTGTTCTGATTTTCAACAGACAAACACTTACACGAACACTCGGAAAAAAACACACACACATACACAATCTCTTGCTTTCATTCAAACATTTCTGTTACTTGTGTTTGCTACATTGTCTAGCCGACTGAAAGCCAATGCTAGACCATTGGATCCTGTATACTTTTCAACTTCCTGTTTGCTATCTCTTAACTGGTATGTCTCCACTTCTGCTATCATTCAAACTTCTATGTAGTTAAACCTGTGTGCTTCTTGTTTTTTTTCCAGTATGTCCACTCTTATGTGATTAAACCTGTGTGTTTTCTGTTTTCAGCATGACTACTCCTATGTAATTAACTCTGTATGCTCCCTGTTTTCAGCATGTCTACTTCTATGTGATTAAATCTGTGTGCTCCCTGTTATCAACATGCCTACTTCTATCTAATTAGATCCATATGCTTCATGTTTATTGATTCTAATCAGCATGTCTATTTCTGTTCAATTAGACCTATGTGTTTCTTGTTTTCAGCATGTCTACATGTTTACTCCCATGTAAATTAGACGTATGTCTACTTGTTTCTCAACTAGCATGCTTTTCTATTCAGTTTTAAGTGTTCACCCCCTAGCAGGCTCCTGATTTGTTCATGATTTCTCTGCCTCCAACTTCTGCTACCTTTCTGCATGTCTGTCTGAATGATAATCTGATCTCAGCCTTGTGTTCTTTGTTTAATACATGTCTACATGCCCATGTAGTAGTAATTAATGAACTAAGTTGAATCTAGGCAATTTGAAACTTTGATTCAAGTGATTGTGATCCTGTTTCTGTCTATTGTTTGATTGCTGGAATCTTTGTTTGAATCCTAAGTGTTGAAATGACTCTGTTTGATTCCTATTTACCCCAGAAAATCCAAACTGTTCTCTTAAAACTACCTCCTATTTTCAACTCCTACTCTTAGAAAATATAGGGTCCTGCCCCTCCAGTGTGAGCACTGCCTAGGAGTCCATGAGACTCCTCTAAACTCCGACACACTGGGGCTGGCTTTCCAAAACTTGCTTACAAAATGTTTCTTTAAAAGTTTTTCTAGTGTGAGCATTGCCTGGGATCCTTGAGGCCCTTGGGAACTTTGACACACCAGAAGACCATTGGGTGTACTATGACAATATTGGCATGTTTCAGACTTGGTTGAAGGCCTGGCTTCCAGGTTTACTTTTGGTCTTATCCAGGCTCCCTATAGTATAGTGATTTCATTCTGTAATTTATTTATATTTGGTTTGTAATAATAATTCCTTGTAAAATAGATATTGGGGTTATTAGTAAAACTGGGAGGGATTCTTATATATATATATTTTGTTGGGAACAGGTAGAAATCATGCCTATAGGTTGCTGCGATGTTTGTTTACTTATGTGCATCAGAAACCATGCCTATAGGACTCATCTAATTCTTTAAATCCAGAATTTTCATCCTTCACATCATTAGAAAACCTGCTTCTAAGTCATTTCTCAATTTTGCATCAATAATCATGTCTTCAAAACCTTTGTGTGTGCATTAGAAATCATGTTTCTAGGAATTTTCCTTGTTAAGTCCGCTTGGCAATTGATTGATGCTTTACTAGAAATCATTCCTATAGGAAACACATATAGAAATCAGTCTTGACACTTAGTCATTCAAGCAAATAAGTGTTAGTCCCTGCATTTAGATACCATGCATATAAGGTTTTAAATCAGTTCCTGCATTTAGATACCATGCCTATAAGGTTTTAAATCAGTTTCTGCATTTTGATACCGTGTCTAAAGGTTGTAAAATCATTTCTGCATTCTAGAAACCATGGCAATAAGATTGAAATCATTTATGCATTTAGATGCCATGCCTATAAGGTTTTTGAATCAGCTTCTGCACTTAGAAATTATGCCTACAGGGCTTAAGATAAAATCAGCCGCTAAAATCAGTAATCAGTTTACAGCTTAGACACCCGATTTATAAAAATCCTGTCTGGCTATCATTTAGGCAATCTTGTAGGTTGATTGAGTTCTGGGTTTTAAAACTGCTATTTTCCTGCTGCTTGAAACTGCCCAGATTCAGGATGTAACAAAATCAGTAGGCAAACTGATTAGGTATTTACTGCCCCGCTTTAATAAAGCTGCTGCATATGTTGTGCTCATCTAGATATCCTGCTATAGGACTTTTAAATCGTTTAAAAACTGTTTGTTTGAGGCGTGCAATTGTTTGTCTATTTGTGGAGGTAAATATGAGCCTTTAATTTCATCTTTATGTGATAGTCCTATCTGACTTTTGTTTATCGCTTAGTTTTCTCCTTTTTAAACAACATAGGCGAGTCTAGAACTTCCTTAAATAGAGGTCCTAAACACCTCCAGGGCCACAGGCAAGGGACGGGTAATGCACGCATAAGCCACGTACTGGATACTATTAGAGTGCTTTGGTAACAATAATTAAGGGGAGGGTAATCCGGTAGTAAAGGATATGATGACCTGTGTACTAATGCTATGTCTAGCACCCCAACTTGGGGACGATTACCAAGTATTGCACAGAAGTGATCCTATAGGCTAAAAACCTAGGACCCCTTTTACTCCTTGTTTTAAACGTAATATCTATTTGTCTAAATTGCTTTGTTTGCTTATAAGACTAATTCACCTAATTCGAGTTTGGCCGGGACCCACCGTTGTGGACCTCGAGGGGTGCCTAACACCTTTCCCTCAAGGTTATTTCGAGCCCTTACCCAATCTCTGGTTATTCAAACCGGTTTATGAGTTACTTGCTCTAGGTGCCCTAACGCACCTTAAATTCGTTAGGTGGTGACTCTTCAAATTCCACACCCAATTCCCGAAAGGAAATGAGTTGTCCCAAAGAACGTCGAAACCCGGACTCCGCGAGCAATAAGGGGGCACGACAGCATGGCGACTCTGCTGGGGATATTTTAGGCTCTTACCATAACGAACTTGTTTTTGTGAATTAGTCTTAAGCATGCTTTATTCTGTTAATACATGTGCACCCTTTGCCCTTCCCCCTTATTTGGATTTAGTTGCCTATTTCTCAAGCATTCATGATTTCCTTTATTTCCTAAAACTGACTTGTCTCCTTGTTTTCTTTCTTAACGTCTTCAATTATTTAAATACCGCATTTATCATTTTTAACGTGCAAATACGTGACAACATGCTATTTATTGTTCCATAAATCATGCTCAACATCATATTCCACTAGTGCATAATCAATCCTATAGCAACACTTGATGAGTGTTTGCGCTCTTCCTATATATCACCCTTTAAATTCGGAAAGGCGTATTTGTGGTAAAACTAGTCGATTAGTGGTGCAGTCGACAGTTCCGTGCCTTTCCCTCTCAAGTTGTCCACTTGAGGGTACCAGTCTAGACCTCTATAGAAACCTTACTCTGGTTAATTGTACATGTATCATGGTCAAACCTAGCCGGGTTAATATGTTGTCCACATAATAACCCTTTAAGACAAGCCTCGTCCAAAAGTCCATCGGGTTTTCCATAGTCCCAACGGACGCAACCATGATTGTGTGCATTAATTTTGGAGAAATAAGTGCCAATATGCTAATCATTGCTGTATAAATAGTCAAATCTGGAGGGGGAAAGGGCCTAACCATATTTGTTTTGCAGAAAATGAGGCACGAGGTCCCCAGGTTCGGCATGGTTCGTAACATACCACCATTGTTGTTAGATTAGTGGGAGGATCTTCCGTCAAGTGATAAGAATCACGTGAAAAGGGTCTTGGGAAATTTGCCTTCTTTATTGAACCTTCAGCCAAACAACATGTTAATCGAAGCTGCTACAATGTTCTGGGACAAAGAAAGGGCTGTGTTCCACTTTGGAGACATAGAAATGACCCCTCTCTTGGAAGAAATAGGGGGATTCGCTGGGTTGCCTTGGGACAGTCCNTGGGAATGTTAGTATTCCCGATCCAAGGGGATAAAATCCACACCAGACTAGCTATGGTAACCAAAACCTTGATGGAAGGGATCGAAGGGCAGACATATACCATTGTCCCTATGATCATTGCAGATATGTACCGGGCCTTGGAGCGTTGTCATAAGGGGTACAAATACTTCGAGGGTTGCAATTTGCTGTTACAAGTTTGGTTGTTAGAGCATCTCCAAAAAGGTCAATACCGTCAAGAGTTTCCACGAAGGCCGTGGAATGATTATATAGCCTTCCATCATCCCAAGAAAATGACCTATATCCTAGACAGGTTTGCTCAACCAGAGTATGCTATAGGATGGGTGCAGTTTTTCAACAATTTGACCGAGGACCAGGTTCAATGGATGTTTGAGTGGTTCCCTACCGACGAGTTCATCATCAGACCCAGGGATGTTTCACGCTTGGTACTGATTGGGTTAAGGGGCATATACCCTTATGCTCCCCTCAGGGTTGTGAGACAGACAGGTAGGAAGCAGGCCATACCGCGAGTTGCTAAAATGAGTCATTTCATAGCCGATTTTCAGGGTGACGCCATTCCATACAAAAGTGAAGCACAACACATGTGGCACTTGAAGATTATCGTGGAAAAGGATACCATCGAGCCAAATCGATATCATGCTGGTCATGCATACTTCTACCCCTCATGGTTGGATGATAACATAGGGGGAATATTCGAGCCAAGAGTTGGTCCGGGAAACAGGGTCATAGACGAAGTTGCCGAAGCACAAGTGAAATATAAAAAAATGCGCAAAAGAGTTCGCGAGTCTGAAGCCGAGCATATGGAGCAACACAAGGCCGATATGGAAATGACCAGTAAGTGGAAAGAGAGGGCTGTTAAATATTCCAGCAAAAGGTTGGAATATCTGGAGTACAGTCTGATGGAATGGAAGGGAAAATGAGGAAGAGAGTCACCGATTGCCAGTATGCCGAAGGAGGACATTTAGCAAAGGCATTCTTACTGCTGAACCTGCACGAACTGGGGGATCTGATCGACAAGAGCATCCAGCCTGGAGAAGGTTTTTCTGGGACCAAGTAGATTAGGTTACTTGTTTTTCAAATTTAATAAGGCCAAGTGCCATTAATGACTTATCTTATTTAGTGTCGTTTTGGGTCGTCTATTTTTACATTAATGAAATGAGGCAATTATTGGCATTGAAATTCTCCAAATATATTTGTCGCTAAGCCTACCTCGAGCACAATGAGGCTCTCAAATTAGGACACGAATTTACATTCCCGCAATATGTGTTTAAATACTGCAAACATTTTTCAGAATCCTTACTAAC